ACAAATTTAAACTAATGGCTTTCCAAAAAAAAAAAAAAAAAAAAACACAATATAGTAATAAAATGACATAAATGTACAAAAATAAAATCAAAGACGACTTAGTCGTAGATCGGAGAAGGAAAATTCCTGACCTACACCAAGGTCGTTTATTAACAACGCAAATCCTGGGTTTGTTTTAGAACGTAATAAATATATTATTATAGTCTATCGAAAGCTCAATCATATAACAACTATCCAAAATAATTATATATGAGTTTAAAACATAAATTAAATACTATATATTAACATGTATTTGTAATATTAAGATGATATAAACCTTTGCTTCTAACACCTTTTCTCAATACAACGTAGTTATATTCTTAATATATGTACTTAAAAGATTATGTCAGGGTTGTATTATATGATTATATTATTATAGCTTTTACTGTTAAGTACAATAGAGCAATTTATCTCCACAACGGATCTGATACAGGAAGAAAGTAATAAATTATTCAAATATAATATTTAAATTTAAACTAAACAAAAATTTAATTTTAAATTTAATCAGCTGATTGACAACCTCATGACATGTGCAGATAGTTAATTACTATTGGGTATAGTATTATTTATAATTTAAACTTTATGTTCTTCAGTAGAACTTATATTGGTTTATTACTTTCAATAATGAAACATTGTGATCGAACAGAAAATTCAAAAACTTAAACCCATCTCAAAATTTGAGGTTTTATGTTTCAGGGTATGTAGAATTCGAAAAACAAATATTTTTTTGTCTGTCCGCCGTCCGCGCATTTTCTCCAAAACTACTGGATCGATTTTTTTTAAATTTAGGTTTAAAATTCTAAGTCATTCGAAAATGATTCTCCTTCATCGACATTTCTATCGCTTTTCCTTTCAAGATGGTGACCGGAAAACCTACGTTGCTATAGACTGTAGCGTCTAAACGAATGTACAGATTTCAATGAAACTTCGCCAAAGTCTTCTTCTTGATGCCCTTTCAATTTATCTATATGATTTACTTCAACGAAAAGAAGCTGGATAAAAACTTGGTAAGGGTGGTAAAATTAGATTCCGAATAACTCAAAAAGTATACAATTTTTTGTCGATTGTATTTAAAAGTTTATGGAATTTCCTAAAAACAAAAAATTAGGAGCAAAGATATGGTTTCTAGATGTTTTTTATGTTCTACTCCAAATGTTATATCCTTTGTTTTGGTTTTTGATTTTTGTATGTGTTACTGAAGCAATGCTAATTTTTATAGCATATTACTAATGATTAAAAAAAAATATTTATTTCAATAATTGGAATCATCTTTAAATTTCTTTTTCTTTGTCACTAGGAAGGTAATGTTACTTTAGATGTATAATTATTTGGAAATAATAAACCATTGTGAAATAATTTGCAGCGTTTATTTTTATATAAATACACACAATATTTTCTTGTTTTTTTTTTTTTCGTTCACTCAAGAAATACCAATATCTTTTTTTGTTCTCATGTCTGAATATTGATTGTCAAATGTCGTATTTTTGTTTTCAGTACGCCTCCTTTCTCCAGGGTCTTCGATAATTCCTCATCATATCCGACGATTGAGCCATCATTTTGAAAATTATCTTGCCTTCAGGTACGAAAAATCTCCGCAAGTATACATTTATGATGGATTATATAAATGATAATTAGGAAGATTTTCAAAGTCCCTACCAAAAAAAAGATCGAAATAGAGTAATTTTCAGCAAACATATATCCAAAATTTTAAATGAAAATGAATTCCTACCCCTCGTACTGTTATATATTGTATTAACTTACTTCAATTTGTAAGTTACCGATCTCTATAAAAATAATACCAATTCGCGCGCAAAAAAATTTTATTTGCCGTTAAATATTTTTTTCTGAACAATGAAGGCCTACTAAATAACGAGGTCGAAAAGTAATTTTTCTTGGTGTGTTCATCGGACTTATAGCTAGGTTTTTTTAAACATAACACAATAATATTGAACTAGATTAGTTTATAGAAACTGAAATTAAAGTAAAATAATTTCAATAGTTTATCAACTTAACTTTGATTACTACTTTATCTATTTGCCTGTGCTCTATACCACTAGTCTAATATTTGGTTTTTTAAATGCGTGTATCTTGCATTAATAATTAAATGAACAAGTATATGTACATACAATTGATTGAATAACATCCGTAATTTATGTGACATATGCGAAATGAACTTAATTTGTACGAAATACGTTTATGGATAGTTTGGATAAAGTTAACCCTGGATAATTTTAGGTTTAAATAAAGTTATACTGAGTATTTTCTCACTAAATTATTACCTGTCTATAATATTTTCATCTAAGTAAATGCATGAATACATATTGAGGAAAGTAATGCTCATAAAAAGATTTCATGTGACGCTGTTATCACAAGTCCTTGAGCTAGGTCAGGTTTTTCCATGCTATTTTCGTATAATGGGAGAGGAGTGGGAGAGAAGATATAAAAACAGGGAGAGAGAGAAAAGGAATATCTTTTAATACTCTAAGCAATAATTTTGTTATTTTCGTTGAACAAATAAATTGTTATATTTTAATTACATTCGTTATAAAAACAGCTGTAATAATAAAATCGAAGAAAGTTCTAGAGTTTAGTACTGAGCAAGAGTTAAAAAAAATAGTAATAATGAGGTCAAAAATAAAAAGCAGTACTACCCATGAAGGGTCTTGGGTTCAGTACTACGAATTTAGGGAAAGTACTGTTTCTTGGTCAACGGTTGTGCAAGCAGGTGATTTGACCGAGATCACGCTCATACGCCAGGTCTATCCCCTTACTTAATTATTTAAATTACGATAACCACTTTATAGAGGCTGGGTGTGCCCCAGGGGGTCTACCTACCCAGGGTCGCCTACTGCCAATGAAACAGAATAAATTATTTTTCTATCATGATTCGCGATTCGAACTCTCTTGATAAAGAGGTCAGCTGTCCAATATTTTTTTTTAAATTGTTAATTTTCTAATATTAACTGCTATGTGAGATTTTTAATTTTATGAAGTATTACATAAAATTAGTCTAATAGTTCGGGCGCCAAATATTTTTTTTTACTCCGCTTGACTCTTGACTTCCGCCATTAGTCTTCTAAAAAAATTGGGTCTTCTCTAGGCTAAAAGCTGTAATCGTTTGGTTCTCTTCTTATGTAGATGATATCCAGGGAGCACGTGGTTTATAATAACCGGACGCGATCACCATTACTCCCTCTTCATCAGGATGGTTGGCAACTTTTTGCATACGTCTCTATCCTGTTGTTGTTTTTTATAGGATAGGATAATTAGCCCTGTGCCCAACCTCCAAATATGAAGGACCATTGGAGCTATGTTATTAGACACAGAGGTTGCTCTAACCTTCCTGAGAATCTGATGGTGGGGACGTTACCTTCCTCATACGGGAATCGAACCCGGGCCGTAGTGGTCTAAGCAATCGAGTAGGTACTGCACTTATTTATTTATTATTAGTTATTCATATTTATATTTTTTTTTTTTAATCTCAAGAACAGGATTTAAATTCGTACCATAAAATTTTTGCAGTCGCCTTAACTCATTCGACCACGAAATAAAATATAAAATGATCTAAATAATAATACTTAAGTATATTATGAATATGGTGTAATATTGAATAATATACCATTCAACGTAAATAATAGTTAATATGAGAATATCAATCAAAGATATTCGAATAAAAATATGTATGGATTAAAATACTATAACACATCTTTCAAAAATTGAATATTTTGTATGTAATATAAGAGAAACAAAAAATGTGAGTTTAAACTTTCAAAGGGAAGTTATGGATGTGGGGTCACAGATGTCATTGAAACATTTTTAGTAATATTAGGTCCAAAAATATTTGACACAAGTCCGATAGCTCTTGCCAATACTTCCTAAGAGCCGAGAAAATAATATTTTGTATAATTTAAAATAAAATTTATGTTACTAATTTTTTCCTTTGCTATGCCCAGATTTTTGGGTTATTATGTACCGACCGATTTCTTTTTTGTGTAGAATAAAGCTAATAAATGAGTTGTAAAGTATCTTAAATAAATAAAAAATAAAATAAAAAAAAACGCTTCCAGTAATGTAGGCTATGTAAATTTTTGTTGTGAAAAAGAAAATTTTCCATCGGATGTACGGACGTCGAATTTGGACCTTTTGAGTTTGGAGTTCTTTAGAAGTTACCGTTATGAAAAAACAATCCTAGAAAATGGAGTATTAAAATTTGGAATTTTAAATAGCTTTAAAAATTCGTATTTATGATTGTTAAAAGTCACTAAAACCGAATGTAATTTTCTTTTTCGCAGCAAAAAATTTAAATGGCCTACTTTACAACAATCGTCTTTCAGATTTGGTTATTTAAGATTATAACTCATTTAATACAACAATCTATATATATTTTTATTATTCTGCACAAAAAAATAAGAAAAAAAAGTAGGTAGGTATATAATAACCAAAAAATCTAGGAAATGGCAAAAATTATTAAATTGCATTTTATTTGAAATAATACAACATTTAAATTTTTTTTCTGCTTCTAGACAGCATCGATAAAAACCTCCGAACATTTACTAATATTTTTGGACCTAGTATCACCAAAAAGGTTTGAAATTGGTGATCCCACGTCCGTAACCTCTACTAATAGTCTACACGTGTTCTGTCTAAATACGGTCGGATTATAATAGCCTGTTGGTATGTCCGTGTTTAGGGTCTTACGTCTCATTTTATACGCCATCGTTCAGTCGAGTCCAAGTATTGTCTTAAATATGGCTAAACTTTACATGCCCTTGGAAACGAAGAAAAAACCAAAAAGCTGCTGGATGAGAGATCTCCTTCTTTAATCAATTAAGGTGTCTGAATCAAGTCAGAGAAAAGCCTACATGCTGATTGTCAACAGTTAGAGAGCAGATAAAAATTAATGTTTGAAAAAAGAACGAGCAGATATTTCCAACGTAGGGCTCTATCGCCCTCCCACACGCATATTATCACACTACAGCGGGATCAATACACCAAGCTTGGAAGCGGTTAGCAGAGAACGTACCCCCGTACTTCGGGACGGCTGCCCCCTAGAAGAAGTCCGAGAGAGCTCTATCGATTCCGACCAGTGACCTTTCCAGAGCTGACCTCAAGAACAAAGGTCTCTCCCACACGTCGCCCGTTCTCTCCCGCCGTGTCCTTCCTCCAGAAGTCGAGGGGATATTTCATTCCTAGGCCGTGAAATTAACGTCAAGACCGCGTTAATAATAGTTTAATATATATTTATTTATTTTTATGGATTTAAAGACTGTTTTAGCAAGTTATCTAATATAAGAGACTGTTAATTACCGTTTATTTAATTACAATAGATTACTACTATGATAAAAGGGCATTAATAAAAAAAAAAAAAATATTAAGGTGAATGCACCAGTTATGCACAGGTTCGACTTTAAATGTAAATAATAAGCTTCCTTCTTGATTTAAAGGTTCCAGTTTTTTCTAGATTGAAGAAGAGCTCTCTATTGACAACTTAATGAACAAAGTTCGCATACGAAAATTTTAAAATGCTTATCATTGTTATTTCTTTAGCACTCTTGAGATCTGTGTGTTTCATACCTCCCTACTAACAGTTTTCTTAACAGTAAGTTGAACATTTATAATGATAATATAATAATAACTATTAAGTGGGGGAATTAGTTGTATTGTGGTGTGGGATGTTGGTGATCAATTGCCGGTTGGTACCAAGATAGTTCCACATCAACTTCATTAAATCCGGTTAGGGATGTGCATACGTATTATAATACGCCTAATATGAAAAAAACACGATTTTTTCAATTACGATTAAAGTCGGAGAGGAGTTAAGGATTTGTTAAAAAAAAAATAAAATGATCCGGTATCAATTTTGTTGAATTCCGTCTCCTATTTTCACAAAAACTGCACGTTCTATTTGGAATAAAGCTGGAAGGAAGGAAGAGATTGGTGATAAAATGACAATATAGGTATAAATTCTATCTGAATCCATCCAATATCCATCTTGTCTTTATAGTTAAATAAAGATTTTAGAATTATTCTGAGGCATGAGTACCATTACTGGTACTGACCTCTTGCCCATTACTAGAACAATTGAATTTCGGGTTGTCCATCACTAGTGCAAAAAGGTGTTGTTTTTTTTTAAATGGAGATTATGTCTGCTGAATATTTTTTTTTTCAATTTTAAAATGTTTAATAGAAAAATGAGACCCTTGAGATTCTAAATGTCCAACGGAAAAGTTACGGCTGCATAAGCCAAAAATTTCCTTATCTATATCAATCCCTGACGCGCTTACCCTATTACTTACAGATTTGAAAAAAATAATTTTTTAAAGAGAAAATCTTTAAAAAAAATAAATAGGCCTTATTTATATATATATGTATATATATATATATATATATATATATATACACATTATATCTCTGCACCAAATCGTCCAATTCTAGTGATTATTTTTTTTTAATTTGCAGAGAATTAAAAAAGCGTTCAAATGATCGTGGATAAAATCAAACAAAATGGGTACTTTTTGAATTATTCGCGAATATAGTTTTGAACCCATCGTAACTTTTTTGTATATTTTTGGAGATTATATATAGGCCTTATTTATATACATAAGGAGGCTATATAGACCAAACACCCTAATATTTTTGTAGGCTACATTTTTTTTCTCGATTTTGTGACCATATTATCTTAAAATTCAAGTGCAAAGCCAATGGCTATTTACGAGTTTTTCGTACCTAATTAAATAGACAAAGTTTGTCGATGTTCAGAGATTGAAAATCCCAATTCTGAGAATTTTCTTAAATGAAATATTTGTAGGTTACGATGAGATGAAGCTAATTATAATTAAAAATTGGTGGATGTTAATAATTTCATAAAAAGGGGCTTGTAACGCAGACTATTGGAAAATGGCTGAATCTAAACACCTGATTGAACAGAAAAGAACAGCTGATGTCATTTTATTGTTCACAAAAGGCAATTGATTTATTAAACGAAAAACTAATCTGAAAATCTAATTTCAAAAAATAAATTAATGATATTATTATGTTTTTATATTTATATTATTATTGACGGAGTTTAAAAAAAATATATAACATCAGAAATACAATTGGTTCAGCTGTTAACCAGCTTTGCTGTACTCATCTACTAATAAAGATTTTGTAACACTGATATTAATTTTTTTTTGTAATATATATATACTATATTGTAGATATTCTCGTTACCGAATCTTGGAGTAGGTAGCCATTTCTGGAATGGACGGTTCACCGTTATACAAGCAACTGCTCTATTGTCCACTGCTCTCCGTTCCAGCTCAATTCAACGAAAATCTTCAGTGATTTGGGAGTTGAACCTAGCTTTATTAAATTAGTTAAGTACGGAAGCGCTATGCCCCAAAAAATCGCAAAATCGTAATAAATCACACCGTTGTACAGAAAGAATTTTTAATTTATTTTTTATACTGAAGTAACCGGAATGTTCTATTAATACAGTTAAGCTCTAGCGGATCCAGGATTTAATTTGGGAGGGGGGCTTCAGTCCGAAAGATTTAAAAAAAATATATATAACGATAATTAAGTCCCTAACTACGTATATGAAATGGTGTTCGAGTGATTCTTGAAGTTCTATTAAATGTAATTACACGAATAATAATACTTTAAGAGATAGTTTTAATATTTTTTTTAATTTATTTATTTACAACAATGGCGGGGCTCCTCAACCTCTTACGGGTCATTTTAGCCCTTACAAAATATTTATTTTACATCAGATAAAATTAAATTTAACAATAAATTGAAAGCATAAAATATTTAAAACAAAGAGAGTCAGCAAATTTTAAATTTTGTTGTAAAGGTGCGTTATTTGAAGAAATGTAAAGACTTTTTTTGCCAATTTGGTGGTATTTTTTAGAATTTCAGTTATATCCTTCTCCAATTCAACTGCATTACGTTGTTTTTCATATCCATAACATTCAGTCAAATGGATATTATACCTGCATAATTGAATATTTTTTTCAATTTTAAAATGCTTAATAGAAAAAGGAGACCCTAGAGATTCAAAATGTTCAACGGAGAAGTTTATAACTATAATAATTACGGCGGTGTAAGCCAAGAGACAAACATTTTCTTAGATATGTTCATGCCTGCTTAACTTATAGCGATTTATAAACACATATAATTATCTACAAAAATATTTAGCATGGATATTTTGACTTTTGTCTCGCTTTATTTCCTACCCCAGTCCACTGCACAACGATACAATTATATTTTATAAAATAAGCCGCTAACTTTGCACATAATTTAATATGTCATAGTATAGTTTTGAATTGCTAATGTTTCCTATGTTTTTTTAATTTACGGCTAATAATGATGGTAGAAAACCCGACTATTGTGTCGCACAGAACTTCTACACCTCATTGTTCAATGCACTTTCATAATTATCTTTTCTTATCTTGAATATTTGGCAACAGCTGGCTGGAGAGTGCAGCGGCCCTACCGACCCCACCGATCCTAGGAATGGAGTTGTAGCTTCCATTGTTTCTCTTTCGAAACGGAACGAAATCCCGCTCAAGGACGCCACACAATGTCGACACTCTTCTCTAGGGAACCATTCGCTGTTCTCGCCAACCAAGTTCTCAGTCCGAATTATCTTCATAGCTATCCTACAAACTTAATTCCTTTATGGATTGCTGTATTTAATAAATGTATATAACATTTTATGTATTTATATTATACTAGGTGTAGTCGGCCACGCGTTGCTGTGGCTCAGTCTGGTTTAATAAAAAATAAATCAGATGTTTCTAATATATTTTATTTAACAACTAGCTGATGTACCCATCGTTGACGAGTGTATAGTGAAAGGGTACAACAACATCTAGGAATATTTGAATGCATACCTAAATACCTACCTGCTAAATACCTTCAAAAGTCTACCATTAGCCATTGCTGAGTTTATCACTGGCAAAATAACCAAAATAACATTGGACATTGAGTCACCTACATCCGTGTAAAATTAGAACTTGAACTGAATATTGTGGCGGGCAGGTGAAATTTTTGGGAGTTTTTTACACATTATATCTGTAATTATATATAATTACACATTATATATCTGCACCAAATCGTCCAATTTTAGTGATTATTTTTTTTAATTTGCAGAGAATTAAAGAAGCGTTCAAATGATTGTGGATAAAATCAAACAAAATGGGTACTTTTTGAATTATTCGCAAATATAGTTTTGAACCCATCGTAACTTTTTTGTCATCTTTTTTTCGGGAAAGGACGTTATATACATAAATTTAAAGGGCATCGAGAAGAAGACTTTAGCCAAGTTTAATTAAAATGGTTACAGCCGTTTAGGCGCTACAGTCTATAGCGACTGAGGTTTTTGAGACACCATTTCGAAAGGAAAGACCGGAGGGTGATTAAATGTATATAAAACACTCCTGAATACGATAGAAATATTATGTCAATAAAGAAGAGAAGAATAGTTGGGGTGGTCAGTCAAAAAGGAAGGCAAAAATAAATGATAATATTTATTTTTTACATATGCCGACGTTTCGACCTGAAGTTCAGGCCTTCATCAGGGCTAAGAAAATAACCAGATAACAAGGTATGAGAAACATAAGTAGTGATGGTGATTATGTCAATACTTCAAAGCGATCGGTGAAGAAGTTGCCATACAGAACTTAAATAGGATGAATCAAAATTATGAGGATTTACAGTCAAGAATTTTTATTGGATTAACGGACGCTTCGACCCTAACATGTGCGTTATCCTCAGGGCTATCTTTTGGAAGTAGAGACAAGAACCCCGTTCTCTGATAAATCCTGACAATTTTGTTTCATTCTAATAATTGATCAGTCTCATATATCAAATAATTAATTTCAGTTTCTTAAGGCTTTTCGTATTTGAGCATAAGGCTTTTCGTATCACATATAGGTGATAAATAATCAGGAGGCAGTCATTTTTAATATTTGAATAAATGCCAAATTAGGTAAATAATAAAAACCTTAAAAATTAAATTAAAAAAAAAATAGTAAAGATCTGATTAAAAATGAACAACCTTAAAAAAATGATTATCATACAATTTTTTTTTTTAATTTCTTAATGACATTTACAACTGTATTACATAAATATATCAAGTAATTTTGGACATAATAGATATAATGACATGAATACACTTGCTGAGTAACTACCCAATGGTAGCACTCTAATGATATGACTACATTAGGAGATCACGGGGCCATCTTCTTTTCAGACGCCTCGGAGGGTTATCAGGAATTGAAGAGGAAGCAAGGTTAGAAACGAGAGGGTTGGGATGATTCTGAAGTTTATTATGGAAGGATAGGTATCTGGATTGGGCCAGATCTGAAATATAAGGAACATTAAGATCTTTATGGATAATTTTATTAGTGACAAAGTAAGGAGCATTGAGGATTTTACGAAGGATTTTGGATTGGATGCGAGAGGAATTCGATGGTTTAGTGGAGCCCCATAGCTCAACTCCGTAAGTCCAAATAGGTCTTATTATAGTCAAGTATATGAGTCTCTTGTAATTAATTGGAAGTTTAGTGCGTTTGTCTAATAAGTGGTGAAGTAATCGGAAACGTCAAGCGGTTTTTTGTCGTTTCAGTCTAGTATGAGGATTCCAAGTTAGTCGTTTGTCCAGGTGGAGTCCTAGGTATCGGATTATCTCAACGGGGATAAGTAGAGTAAAGGAAACTGTAGGACAGGAAGTCGTTGGTTTACGACGAAGATCATAAAAATTAAATTGCTATTTAGAAAAAAGTATGTAAGTATGTATGTAATGCACTTATTAAAATAATTATAATAAAAATATAATTAATCCACAAATAGAAGTAATGACCCATATCTTCACTTTACGAAACAATTCCTTAAAAATCACAAGAGGGAAAGTTAAGTGAGAAACTTGAAGAAAGAATTGATGATGGGGAGCCTTGCTAACTTTTTCCATTCTTTAGAAGAAAACCAATAAAAGTTGGGAAAGAATTTGCTATCTCCATGGAAAGTGAACCGGCCGAAAAGGTGGCGGCTACGAGAGCTTCATTATTCAGCGGTGATTGCCAATTGTTCTACATTACTTCCCTCCTAGGGGAGGGCAGGAAAGCACTAGGATCGATAGCGGCTGTGCACTGTCTGGGAGGTTCTTATCTTAGAGGTCATTGAGTGTCACAGAAGTTAGGAGATCGTAATGTCGTAACAAAGACGAAGTGTTTACGGGATGATATCATACCGATATATAGGGTATCGAAAGATATAACATCGAACAGTAGTGTGTAATATAATTATTAATAATGTGGACGGTTTTCGAATATGTACTGGTAGTAATACTGTTGGGCGAATTAGTTCGTCAAGTAGGCCTCGTCATAACTTTTTGTCAAACCTATACGGATACCTTGAGATTACCACAACGAAGTAGAACATCCAGAATTAAAGTTCTCCTAGAATTCCAAAAAAAATTATAAATAAATATATAAAAAAAAACTTCTACCAAGTAAGGTCAGTATAGCTTCCTCACTGTTTTCATTGGCTAAAATATATCCATATTACAAGGTATACAATTTTTTGTATGATAATAAAATCTCTGGAAGAAAAATATTCGGTAATACAGTTACCTTTCAACATTTGCGGGTTTGATATCCACGAATTTCGTTTATCAGCTTATATTAAAAAAGGAAAGAGTGCCATATTTGATGAATCCACATTTGATTATTCTTAATTAAAAAACATAAAAATACCAATACATACTGAACATGCATTTCACTACTGTTACTGCAAATAATGCTCGTAAGTAAAAATTGATTGTTTTACAAGAGAGCATAAAAACAAATTATTTCTTTATGCTTTATTTGTATAATTTCATATTGTATTGCCCTCTGCTATTTTCCGTAGTAGCAGACTACATAATGTCACCTTTAGCACAAACATAATAAAAGGAAATAAACACAGTCCCAAATAAGAGTTTTTTTGCAAACTCATAGTAAAAATGATGTAGAGATGGTTGACCGTTGATATAATATGAGAAGAGTTAGTCGAGGGTGCGTCAAATAAATAAAAAAATAAAATATATAAATTATTTTAATTTTTGCCGACGTTTCGACCCACTTTGCAGTCGTCTTCAGGCGTAGATGTGGCACTGCGGCATGGATGTGGCACGAAGACGACCTGCAAAGTGGGTCGAAACGTCGGCAAAAATTAAAATAATTTATATATTTTAATTTTTTTATTTATTTGACCGCACCCTCGACTAACTCCTTCTCACATAGTAAAAATGACTTTAAATGTACTGAAAATTACACGAAATCTAAGTAATGGCAGTAAGTGTCATGCCAGTAACGTTTGGAATCGACCAAACGATACAGTATCAATTAATTTTTTTAATAAAACCTATGGGTTTAGCCTTAGTGACGCGGTTGAGAGAGGAGTGCAGAGAACTCCTGGAGTCATACTTTTCCCTACACAGTTGGAGGGACAAGTCTGGTTTGGGGTTTTCTCGCCAAATTGTAAATATTGTATATAGGTGTGTATATGTTCTTTATATTTATTTATTTTTAGATTATTTTATTCTTATTTATTGTATATATATTATTTTTCTGTATAATTTATTTTATTTATTGTACATAGAGTGTGAAGGTGATCTGTGAACTATATTATAAATGCCCTAGAGACAGATTGTAATATTTTTCAATATAAATAAAATAAAATAAAACCTATAATTTTATAACCCCATAAAAATATCGTAATAACCGTAATTAAACAGACAAAGTTAGCGCCCCTCCAGATTGAAAACGCTCCAATTCCGATAATTTTCGTAAATAAAATATTTTTAAACTACAATGAGATGAAACTATTTACGAAGTTTCAGACAAATGTTAATAATAAAGGGGTCTGTACCACGAATTACTGTATTATAGAGAGAGAATTTTGTTTAAAGCAATGGATTTATTTATAACTCTGTCAACTGCTGTGATTTTTTTCAGATTCGTTATCCAAACGAACAACTTAACACGCCTGATTTAGTGACTTCGATTCTGCCCAATAATATTGTCCAACCGCGCACAATTGAGTAGCCTTTGTCGATGACCGAAACGTACAAGGATGACTGGACTAAAAAGAGAAAAACTCCACCTCCATTCTATAAAAAGTTTGAGAGAGTTTAGTCTTTGTGAGAGAGAGGGAGTTGAGGTGGGATGTTAATGCGGGACTGCTCGTTGAACCATTGATATGTAAATTGGTTAATTGACTCAATGCCGTCCGGACAATTGGTCATAATTCGGTTCACTCTTTTACCCCCCCCCAATTCAAAGTTCACTACTGCTCCTCACCAAAATCAGAACACATTATCAATTTAGTGTTTGGAATTTCAAAAGTCTATTAGGCCGTGGTACAAACCCCTTTTTATCAAATTATTAACATTCGTCTGAAACTTCATGAATAGTTTCATCTCATCGTAACCTGAAACTATTTTATTTAAGAAAACTCTTGGAAGTGGAGCGTTTTCAATATGGAGGTCAACAAACATTGTCTAATTAATTTTTTTTTAATGAAGAGAAGAGTAGTTGGGGTGCTCAGTCAAAAAAGGAACGCAAAAAATAAATTATAATATTTAATTTTTACATATGCCGACGTTTCGACCTGAAGTTCAGGCCTTCAT